AACTCTGAAATAATTCTGAACAAAGTTTTAAGACATTTCGGAGCTTAATCACAAGGAAATTCTAGGAAGAATTGAAGCGATTTCACACGCGTGTCTATTATTCACTTTTCAACATTGATTCAAAAGCTTCGCGGCATTTTACAAGCATCACAGGTATTAAATTAAAAATTAATAAATCAGAGGAAGAAAAAGTAGAAGGGTCTGTGCCTAGGGGCATGAACGGAAGCTTGACGTAGGACCGCTAGTGGACAGAATAAATGTGAAGAGCATTTAGTTCTTTTAATTGATCAATTATCTATTATCTCAACTATTTCCGTTTTTAAATTGTAGGCGTACCAAATTTGTAGTAATTTTTTTCAAAGAGAAAGTTGATTAAGAGAATCAATGAAAATCACTTGCACCCCTGCTTCCAAGTTTGGTTACAAGATTACAACTCTGGAGAGCATTTTGTGTGGTCGTTGGGGGCTTGTGGTTCTGAATATGGACAAACAGGCACAGATAAATTCTATTCCAACTCTTAACTGATGTAAGCTTGATGGCCCTGAAAAGGGCCGTTTTATTGAAGAGGACATCCATGGCCACTTACGCTTGGCGTGTTTAGTGTAGGTGACAGCATATCGGACCTCATTTTCCAGGAACACCTTCAGCACACCTCGTAAATCAGACCGGAGATACGTCAGACACCGCCACGGCGAGCCAGACGAAGGATGGTGGTTATCTCGAAGAATTTGCGTTTGGTTCTGAATATGGCGATGAGTGAGCAAAATATTACGCAATTCCATCCTCCCTATTCGCTCGCGTCCGAGGATCGGAGGCGAATGCCACTTCGACTTGTTTCGTCTACTTACTACTCTCTGACGACTGTGCTGGGGAAGCAGCATATGCATGTAGGTAATTGGTGGATTTGTTAGTTAATTCGACGCTTTTGGACAATGCTGTATATTTATCAGTTTTTCAATAGTTTCTTGTTGAAAATCAACATTCGGAAGCATTGTTATCGATGCGTAGCCATATTTCTGATCGATTGGTGATAAAATTATTGAAATTAGACCAGGGGCAGCTGAGTTATTAACATTCAAAATCTTTCTTAATTTGTTACATGTTCCATTTTCGGTTTTCACAAAGTGTACCCCCATATAGAAATCAAAGACGTAGTCCTACGTCAAAACACACAGCCTCAATTTCAAAATATTGATGTTGTTTAAAAATTTGAATCTAGCAAGTAAACAACACTAACTGTTTGAGTATTTTTTTCATCCCCTTGCTTGCTATGTGCTGGCGTTTCACCTCCCGGACGAAAAGCGCTTGTCAAATGTTGTCGTAGTCGTGTTTGTGCGTTGTGGTTGTGTTTCAGAAATGCAATCGAAGTGTGCTGTGGTCTCTGTTAGACGCAGTTGTCAGTTTTGATTTGGGCGTTGGTCGCGAGTTGATTCGGCCGGTGAGACTCTGGCACTGCGTCTTCCAGACTGTGTACTAACATTTAAATTTAACACGATTTAAAGTATTTCAATGCAACATTACATTTCGGGAGAACTTTGAGATTTGGCGTAATTGCTTTTGTAAACAAACACGCCAATCACCGATTTCTCGCGAATTAAAGCTCAATCTCACAAACAAACTTTTCCAAATGATAGAGGAGTCATGCATTTGCCTGTTTGTGTCATTGGGCGATTGGGCGTGGCCGGCAATGCTAATTGTCATGCTTTTCCTGTTCTGAACTTTGATTGGAGAACTATTCACTCCCAAATAGTTTTCCTTAACCAATCAGAATAAAAACGTTAAAGTTGATCCATGACAGTTTCCAATATGTAATTTACGAATTACTCCGTTACACACGCAACGCAATGCATCGCAACGCAAAAAAGCGATTACGCCCTTATCTCGCAGTTCTCCGGATTTGTTCACTAACAATTTACACGTTTTTCAATATTTTATCCTAGCTAATTTCTGGAAAAATTTACTTGTGTTTTATACAATTAGTATCAATTTTCCGTCATATTGTTTCTCAGTTACAGAAGATTTTCGGTGTGCCATTTTTATCGAATACACCCTTTACGAGCCACGAGCTACACTCTATTTAAAAACTACCCAAATTTGGGTACAATCCACCCATATCTGTCAAAACTGAACCTACCCAAAAATGGGTAAACTGTGTTGGGAGTGACAAGTTGACAAATGAACAACGTCGATCGGATTCATGTCAATGTTGTTCATTTGTCAACTTGTCACTCCCAACACAGTTTACCCATTTTTGGGTAGGTTCAGTTTTGACAGATATGGGTGGATTGTACCCAAATTTGGGTAGTTTTGAAATAGCGTGTGGCATGACGATGACTTAGAGCAACCGTACCAGTCGTTGCCATTTGCGGCACTATTTTACTTACGCACAGCGTTTCCATTCTGGCTTAATCACTCCTCTCTACACCGGTCGTTGCTATCAGAGTCATAATTTAAGTTACCGTTTTCCACACTGGCAAAACAAACTTTTGACGTTTATTCAAAATAGCAACCGTCTGATGCGTTGCTACCGGGTTGCTAAATTTATGAACTCACTACTTCCCAAGGTGCGGATTGCTATTTCCCCCACCTGAATAGCAACCCCCGGTACGCAAGTAGCGTTATGGTGAAGGTTCGTAAATGTGCCTTATTTACTCATTGGTACGGTTGCTCTTAGCGTGGTTTACATAAAGGTTCGTATAAGGTGATCCAAGAGACGTTTCTCAGTGGAATTGACAGCTAGAAATCTAGAGTGTGTGAGTGATCTGGTGTTAATGGTGCAGAATTTAAACATAAACAAAGCAGAAATTCATATGACGTGAGAATAAACTGCCAGTTCTACCATAGAGGTAACTCTAAGACCAGAAGGTCCCGAAGAAACGAGCTCAACTTTTTGGCTCAGCTCTGGTACTATCTTCGGTCCCAAGCTAATCGATGCACCCCTCGAAACATAGAAAAATCCACGAACCCCTCCTTTTTGTCTGTCAAACTTTCATAGCGAATCAAAACAAACATAGTGTAGTACTGGAATTCATACTAGATTGGGGTACGTTAATCGACTTGCTTGGGACCAATAGGCTGGTCAAGTAGTGAGCCAATTTAAAATCGTTAGTTTCCAACTGGTTGGTTCTTCCGCCAGTATGAAAATGAGCTGAATACTGAAAAAATAGTGCACGCAAAATAAAACCGTTCCGTTATTCGAGAACAAAGAATCATGATTCCATAAAATGATAACCCATCTGAATCCATGGCTTTGTTCCCGATTTTCAAGAATGAAATCATAAATCCATGAACATAGTTCACGCCGTTCAGTGCAACCAAAAAATCGTAACGCTATAAAATTCAAAATGAAATCATAAATTCGTGAAACATGAACCCATAAGTGTGAGTTCGTTCTTACTACTGTGAATTTGGATCACGAGCAGAGCTGCAGCTGTCATTTTCAGCCGTTGTTTATGACCAATTGTTTGGAAGGCAAGGTGTGAGTTCATTCATATCAGTTAGATATGAACTATTTCGGCGGTAGCAGCAGCGAGCGGTGGCAGTAGAATTGGTCAACCAACGAGTGCTGAAATCGCCAATGTTGTCTAGCTTCGGAGTGAACAGCGAAGCAGGCTCCAGTGCAGGTGATGTTGGCACTAGCTGGTTTGAAGAGTTATCTGGACTGACTTCGTCATACTTCCGCTTCTTCTTCTGTATCGATGTCTACTTTGGCAGGTTCTGATGTTGCGTCGTCCTTTTTCAGCAGCAGCCCTTTTGTTAGAGCCAACGGGAGATCCTGGTAAACTGCCATTTCATGATTGTAATTCTTCACCTATAAGAAATCAGCTCAATCGGTTTGACGACAACCGGAAAAATAACGGCGGGTGGTTGCATCCGGGCTATTCTGGGGATTCCTGTTATTTAATTTCATCTAAATGACACCATACTACGACAGCACCACATGTGTCAGTTAAACAGTCAATAAATATTTATTATCCACTGTCGAATTGTAATCGCCGTAAACTTCCGCTCGTGATGCCAACTAATACCGTTTCAAGCTTGTCACAGCTACTGTTTGGTCGACACATTATCACTCTGTTGGTGGTCACGATTCGCTATCGCTAGAGTGCATTTATATAGAGATATCACATCCGAATTTCAAACATATAAAAACAAAAACAAACAAACGCACTAACAGCGCGCGCATACGCACCGATACAACCGAGTAGGCGTTTGTAAGTAAACGTCATTGATTACGTCAAGGTCAAAGCTTCGCCCCAACGAATCAAAGTAGGCGACGATGGAGTGTCCGTGAGAATAAAAATAGGTCACTCCTCTCCTTAATTGGTGCCCATTTCAGTTAGCAGAAATTTGATCCATTCTGACATCAGCGGAACCTGCACATGACTCACATCCTGGTTTATTATGATGAGTCAAGCATTTTCTTTATATTACAGTGGATGAAGCTTGATTGTTTTCATTCTAAGGTCGGATGATAAACTGTATACAAACAAACAAAGTGCTTGAAGTGGTTCGAGCTGCATGTGACGACGATGGAGACGCATCATGTGTGACACGAGTCGTGAGGAGTGTGCGCATGCCTCGACGTTCTCTCCAAGGAAATTCGCTCGCTCCCGCACTAGGAAAAGCCAACGAGCACATACACTCGAATCGAATACTTTTCTACCATTACGTCACCACCTGCTACGGCTTTTTTTTTACCCACTCGGTTTTGATATTGTAATAAACCCGTGATGATTCCGTTGGGGATTTTTTTTAAATTGATAAATCCACTGGGGCTTCTGCTGACCCATTTCGATTGATGTGCTTCGTGGTTGCTGACTCCAGTAATTTTCCACCGGCACGCACACCCAGACATTGCAATCCAATCAGTTGTCTGGCAAAAATCTGTCCCCGAAAAGATGCTCAATCAGATTATTTAGTAACATCGTACCAACTTAGGTGGACAAAGTGACACAGTTTCAAGGTTTTCACCCACTAATTTTCCTAAATACACTTACATAACTTGTCTCGCTAGCATTTTTCGCTTCTGTCGGGCCCAAGTTTTCCTCTAAAAATTTTTCAGGTTGCTTCGTTCTGACACCAATTTTTGCACTTCTTTCACTCTCACTCGCGAAGTAGATTTTCGTTTTCTTACACTGCCGTCGTCGAACTACCGCCGCGATATCAAGAAACCCGTCGTATTTGAGACCTTTCGAACGTACCTAAAACGTCAAACACATGCGAGACACAGGACCTTCAGGGTCACCAGCAAAATTCCCAAAAATTTTGCTCCAAAATAGCTCGGACCTAACTCACTCCTACCGTACTACTTTCCGTCTGACTGGCAGACCATCTGCTGTGCTCCAAGTAGGCTGGCTCGTTGGCTTCGACAAAGGGCGAAAACTCTCCCCCGTTTCAGAAGAGTTTCCCAAACCGACGACGTGGAGAGAAGATGGCTGCGAATTGTCTCTCACGCTCCCGAACGGGCCCATGTGTATCCATCATAACCTACAACATCAACGTTTGCAGAACCGGTCCGATGCGGTTTCGCAACTGTCAGCTGATTCGCTTCTATGGTGCAAGGGTTCCTATGGTAATCTCGGTTGTTATCGATCACAGTACTTAATACCGTTGTTTTTGTTTTTATTTATCTCGCTAAAATTCACAGAACGATTATTAGCAGCATCCGTCGATGAAAGAGACTTCAAGACTTTCCCCCTGTGTCCGGCCACTTGGGGTTGAAAAAGTTGGATATAAGCACGCTTCTCGAGCCGCACAATATATTGTTTACACTGTTTGGCAGCCGCGCAAAAAAAATGAAAAGGAATGGATTCTCGGCAGACATCCAAGCAAGCGGCGAAAATGTCGGTCTGTGCCTATTTTGTCTCAGAGCGTGCTTCGATAATTGAAACCACACCATAGCGTTTTTATTCGCCGTGCTCGCGAACTTCGCGAGGTGGTTTGTTTTTGCCAGAGTGTTTCTCCGATTCAACCAACCGTTTGCTCTTTGGTTTGGATGTATTCCACGCGGTGCTGGGCCGACTATCATTGGACATATTATTAGAAGATTGTTTGGCTGTCGTTTGCAATTATTCAGATTTGCGAGAAAGTAGCGGTCGCCTATCCACACTAGCGGTGGCAATTTGTTTGATTTGGACTAATGCGTGAAGTCACTCAATAAAAACAACCACCCTGAGAAGGCATCAACAGGTCACGGGACTGTTTTCATGCGAATTTGATCGTTTGCTGATGGTGGCAAAATTTTATGGCGGTGAATCAAATTCGTTCGCAATCATAATCAACAAATCGGAGCGCGTGCTTGAGTTAGCAATAATATTACGGGGCTGCGTAAATTCGCGTGTTTCCACCTCACGACCTCACGTGGCTCTACGTTTTTCCGTAGCGTCAGCACATTTATGTTTATTATTGAGTTTGGTAAACAAGATTCGCTCTCCTGAATGATAAAACCGATCGTTCATTGGCGACGAAGGCTGATTGATCCGAGTGGGCGATTTAGCGACTGAGTAAACTGATAGTGAATGTTTTGTTCGGTGTGCGGAGGTGCGTAATTTTCCATTGATAATTAGATATTTTCGTCTAAATATGTGTCGAGTGCATCTGGCAGATGGAGGTGATACGGGAAAAATCAAAAAGATTAATAAATTGCGATTTCCATAGCTTATGTGTCAATTGAGTTTTGACGAAATTCAGAGATGTTTCGTGAATTGGCATGTGCAGTCTTCGTTTAGGAGTCAAGCTTAAATTACGAGTGTAAATATTTAATTTCAAGCATCTGCCCTACGTTGCCACGATTGAATCGTGTTTATTTTATTAGTTGGAATGTGTAATAACTGTGCAAAATTTTGGACGGTTTTTTGTAACCCGGCTTTCGGCATTGTTTTTGAAACTAGTATGGGAAAACCAACTTTTTTGCACTTTGATTAAGCCAGGAAGTTCCTAACAACTTTGCCAAAGGAAGTACGGTGCTAGAATGTCTCTAAAAATGTTATAACTGTTCAAATATTTATGGTTTGAATTAACTGCCAAAAATCACTTTTTCTGCCAACACTGCCGGTGTACCAATGAAAGTCAGATTCTAAACTGAAATTACTTCGTAGTTTCTTATCTTATCGATTTGGTATGTTCAGATGAATTATTCAAAAACAATTGCTCAATCTCATCAGCGAAGTTTGGGGGGGGGGGGGGGGGGTGAGGGGAGGTGCTTACTATACGCAGTTTTTTAATCGAAAATGGTTGTAGTGTGAATATTTCAGGGGGTCCATTCAAACCCAATTTTTCAATTCCCGATTTTTAATATATGATTTTATAGTAGATTAATTAAAAAAAAAAGTAGTCTACAAAGGTTTGAGCCTCGCGCGCGTATTACGGATATAGAGGACTGAATTTAACATTTGATAAAAAAAAAATGCAATTTTGAAGCTTATTTGGAAGATACTTTGAGTTAGTAGTAAGTTTTCTGGCAAATGTTGGGGGTTCGTGAGCATTCCTGACATTGCTGAAAATTATGATAGCATCAGATTGCGGGGATACTAGTGTAATAGGATGCTTTGTTGATTGTTCATTAACTCTTGATTGCTTGTAATACTTATGAATATTTTAGGTGGACAAAAAGGCGAACTAAGAGGTGGACGCCTGAGCTTTTCCACATTTATATTGCTGTGAAGCAACTGTAAACTTTAGAGGGAATATATATCTGTAACTGAAACCAGTTCGATTTTGTTTGCCAACCTGGTTAAAATGTCATATTCAATTATCTTAAAGATAAATCGTCCAGCTCAAACCTTTGTAGGGGTAAGAGGTGGGACCATCATCATCATCATCATCATTTTTTCCCGGTTATTTGGAAAAAAAACCCAAACATTCTTGCCTTAAACAAAAAAGGGGTTTAATAATAACCGTACTTGTGTCCCCATTGTATTAACTGCACTTGAAAATGAGACGAATGTTTAACTGTCACCAGTTGTTGTTTACAATTCTGCATTGCTGTACAATACTCTTCCGGTTGCTGCTATTCAACTTAAATTTGACGTGTTTCAAGTTAATGATCATACCTTTTGCCACACATATGCTTGAGTGGTCCAGTAGGCATCAATGTGAACTAGCGGCTGCCGGTTCGAATCCCGAAATGCAAAGGTAATTTTTAGACTTATTATCCAATTAGTCAGCACCTTGTTGCAGTCCCATAAAAATATGTAAGATATGAAGCGGTCTTCAATTATTAGTTTTTTTCTAAATAAAACTAGAAGGCTGAACAAGGGTTGGAGAAGACTGTTATTTAATACCTTAAAAAGCTTACAATTTTTATAACTTTTAAGCTTTTGGTTGATTAAAATCACCGGATTTAGATGTTAACGTGGACTATGTACAACAATTATTCAAACTAAGGCTGAATTAAAATCGATTGAACAACACTTGTTAAGCATCAAATTGTTACCTGGGATAATTTGTTGACAAAATATGACATGAGGATAACATTAGTATCATAGAGGTAACTCTAAGACCAGAAGGTGTCGAAGAAACGTGCTCAACATTTTGGTTTAGCTCTGGTACTATCTTCGGTCCCAAGCTAATCGATGTACCCCTCGAAGCATAGGAAAATCCTCGATGCCCTCATTTTATCTGTCAAACTTAGTCAAGTAGTGAGCTAATTTAAAACCGCTAGTTTCCACCGGTTGTTAACATGTTGATGATCTAGATCTCCAAAATGTCATAAAATCATGAATTCGTATAAAATAAAAGAGTCTCCTGCAAAAATTGAGCCTAAATGTTATTTAGGTATGTCGGAAAAACAATATATCAATACAAGGGGCCTGAGCAGGAGAATCGCAGCATTTAAAGTTCTTCATATCATCCTGGAGTTTAGTTCTTGAAGTTCTATAAGTCAAACAACATTTTGTGGGTTTACTAAAAAAAGATTACTAAAATGTTTATCATTCTCCAAATTGTCCTGGAGATCTTGACTAACGAAGGATCACTTTAAACGAGAGCAGTAATTTATCCTGGAAATTAAGTTTACAAGGGTTGGGAGGAGATGTGCGCGGATTATTAGTGGAATTTTGGTATATGGAATCGGTATTGTGCAGTGATGTCATTTTACCCAAATGCGGCTCTAGTGTACGTATATTTTGCCCCCTCTGAGGATGTATGCATTGCATTCACATTCAGTCACTCACGAACAGGCGACTAAAACCGCTTGCCTTCGCTCAAGCAGCATATAATTGAGGTAGTTTTACACAGAAAATATCTAGATATAGCTGGAACTAAGGCATAACAGCTTTTGTAAACAATGACTTCTCTCGATAATTTCTAGGAATTTAAGGCACGCTCACGCAAACCAATACAACCACCGGGTAGGGAAAGACTTCCCCTACCTAATGGTGATGTTGATTTTCGTGGGCGAGCCTTGACTTTCTAGAAATCATCGAGAGAAGTAATTATTTACAAAATCTGTTACGCTCTAATTACAGTTCTATCTAGATATTTGACTGAACACTCAGAACAAGGATTGGGTTCCATCACGGAAGAATAAACGTGCTGACTGAGTGCTCTGCTGTCAGTGACTTGTTTACTTCTCAATCATTCAGACTCTCACGACTCGTGAGTCACGAGGCAGTGAATAATGAGGCGGATGGCTGTTCATATTCATATGAAAATGTCTCATTGAACCTGACTGTTTTGTGCACGGTGAAGAACAATGAGGATGACCACACAATGGTTGCTGCTAAGGCTCTGAACCATTTGGTGGATTTTTTTTAACTTTTGATTAAAATTTGACAGATGGAAAGTTATCGATTAACCCTGCTATCCGACAGTGGTTATTTCTGACAGACAAGAAGTTAAATTTTGACAACCGTGGCTTGAAAACCGGTCGATGAACAGGACGGGGATTTTCGAACATAGAAAATAACTTTCGAAATGTCACTTTTAACCAAGAGTTAAATTTAACTCGCCAAATGGTGAGACTAGATGAGACTCACCCTAGTGGCTTAACCAAGACTCCCGGAATCCGGGACCCGGATATCTAGCTCAGTAGCATGAGACCCCTGAACTGTGTCACAGGGCCGGCATGCTACTGGATAATTCGGAGGGGTACGCGGAACTAACTGTGCAGAAACTGTGGGATTTCTTAAGTTATGGTGAAATTAATTGGAAGCTAAAATGTGGATGGAAAAAGTCTAGAAGTTTATTCAAATGGAATTATGGTGCGGATGGTTTTATTGGGCTATTATTGGGTGTGTTCTATGGGTTTTTGCTTCCTTGGTAAGTACCGGTGGTGTTTGCTGGACGATGGCGAGCGCTCGCTGGTGGTGATTATATTGGGTAGCTGTTGTTTGACCGCGAT